AAAAACAAAAAACTCAAATGAATTTTTATATTGATGCAAAACAAATAAAGATAACAAAAGAATAGAGAAGTGAAAGCGGAAATGCATAAACATCCTGCTGTTCAAGCAAGTTTACGTTTATTTATCAGTAAGTCCAAGTCATCCAATGCAGATCGTTTTCCTTTTATTATTCCAATAAATTTGGCCAGATCAGAGTCCGCACTTGAAGACTGGAGACGAATCCCTGGTTGGGATCTCTCATTCAACCAACGCTTCAAATCAGCCGAATGAAATAATGTTGGATGCTTAGAGATATCATCATCCCAGGTCAAGCCATATTTCATCATAGCATGGAGAAAGTTATATCGGAGTTGATCATCATCTGTTGTCATTTGAACCAATTGGTTCATCTCCGTTTCCGCTCTAGTCTTAAGGTCTTCCATTACTTGTTTTTTAAGTGAAGGTGATTTCTTTAAGAAATTGAAATTGAACTTGAACATTCTTTCTTCCTGTGGAGTGTCCTCCACAGTGTGCGATCGAATCAAGTAAGTCGTTCCTTGGGTGTCGTTGACAGCACTCGTAAATTCCACACCTCCATTCATTACAACTGTAGCTGTAATTACGACCAGGGTTGAAAATGAACGCATCCTTGAGTGACAGCAAGAAGTGGTGTGGTGCTTGATGGAAATCGGAAAATGAATAATGAAACTTTGCTGAGCAGCACCTTATCAGTCTCGTCGTATGTCGAGATCGACACGCGCAAGCAATCCATTTGTCTCATCAATCCAATGGTCCATACGGAAAAGGCAAACTGGATCTAATCGAGAAATGGTTGTAAAGTGGCCATATTAGGCAACGTTGATAATCTTGCAAACAGTGCCAAGATCAAGAATCAGACCGTCCAGAAGGGAATATGGCAGCTGCACAGACCCTTTTGCAACGCTTGATCGAAGAAAAATAGCCAGATCACCTGCAATCTGGGTACGGGAAGGTTTTCCGAATTTTCACGGTTAGCGCACGATTTGAGAGCTTTGTTGCCCGCAATCAATGAATTAAGATTCAAAGAGATAAATAATTGATGATGGGACGCAATCAACACATTCGTTTTGTCGTTCATCGCAAATTTCTGCTCGTCTTTTTATAATATAAATAGCATATCTGCATCTGCACTACAGACCAGTAAACAGAACCCATCCACATGATTGACCATCAACAATAAGGAGGTCGCATCGAACAAAAACAAAACTCGTTTACACCTGGTTGAACGTATAGAAAACGCCATTACTCTTCGCGTCGCTTGCGATTGTTTTAATGTATCGACTGGAGTTTCGTTCACCTTAATCGGAGCGACTGAGTCACGGCTAGAACCTCGGGAGTTAAAATAATCGGCAAAGATGACGTTCGTAATCTACAATTTATTTATTCAACATAAAGAACAACAGTCAAACATAAGGGTAGTTATGAAGCTACAGAGCTCGAAAGCTATCTCGGGTACCAATCTTTAGAAACTTTAAGGATAGCTTAAATGATGAGCATTACAGAATATTCTTGATCTCTGTGTTTTACTGTTGTAAATCTAATACAATTTGAAAGATTCGGTCAAGCGGATGATCTTCGTTAATCTTCCTTGTTACAAAAGGGGACACGTACGTGGTGTATACAGAATCTGGTCGCAACAATCGAGGAATCATTTCGTGAATTAGCGACTGGCTATTGGCAAAAAGGTCATTATTGACGCTAATGACGACATCGGAGTTCAAGAAGAAAGACAGAGTAGAGACTCCGTACAAGGATAAGAGCAGATTTGATTGGGTGTGATCTCTCATTGTTGGCTGAAAGGCACATACGACATCGACT